AAAATTGTTTGCCCTTCCAGCGAAATTGGAAGGTCTTTTGCACTCTTCGGATCATAAAGCGCTTTTCGGGGCATCACATGGTGTCGAATGACCATCTCGTTCACCGAGTCAACTTCCCAGAAATCTTGCTTTGGGCGGCATGCTGCGAGGCATGCATTGGTCTCTTTCACCCTCAGACACACAGCGGCTGAGGACTCGCCCTTTTTGCTCTGGGATCGCTTTCTCCCTTTTCCCTTTGGGGTGGGAGACCTACCTCTGCTGGCTCCTTTCTTTGGGCTCGGCTTATCTGTTGCTGGTGCAGCAGACCGAGTCTCATGCGAAAACGCACAGTTGTCTCCACGAGTGCATTTCCCCTGACCGCCTTTGAAAAACCTGCACGGGATCTTTTTCAGCTCCGCTCTCTTTCTCGATGCCGACCGATCCCTGTCTCTCCCCTGGCTGTCAGAGCGCCCCCGACCTTTTCCTTTCGGATTTTGGCTCGGGGGTCTTGGGTCTTTCTCATGCTTGTAAATGCAATTATCCCGAGTGCACTTGCCTTTCTGAAAATCATAGCAATACCTGACCGCTGAAGGATCTCTTGCACGCCCAGGATTTGCATTGGGAGCTGGAGCACCGACCTTCTGATTGTGAGCTCGAGCGACACGATCACGATTTGACTGCAATCGCTCCCGAGTCAAAACATCACGAACGGCTTGAACAAGAAACTCGTAGCTCTTGTCATACGACCCATCTTTTGCACGCTCGTATGTATCGAGGTCATACTTGATCTTGTGACATCCACGAATCTGTCGCAAGAAAATGTCCTTCAAGACGTGCTGCTCCGGAACGATCTTCATGCCAGCAATGACGGAATCCCAATTCTGAATAAAGGTCATCAAATCATTGCCGTGAAGTACCACCTTCAACAAATCTTCAGTGGAATACAACGCTCCGGCCTCCTCATTTGTCCTGAAATACTGCTCAAACATGAGAAGAACTTGACGTCCACGGACAACTTTGTCCAAAGCAGCTTGTTGCTCCTTGTATGTAAGGATCTGCCGACTAAGGTCGCCCTTAGCAATCCGCGACAAGGCTGCAAGAAGCTTTGTATCCAACGTTTCGAACTGCTCTGGATCTCCAAGCTCTAACATGAGATTCTTCTTGTCCTCCCGGTTGACGTACACCTTGTTAACCCAGGTGAATGCAGCGTCAGGCCGATCTGAAGCAGCCCGAATCTCTTCGCGAGTAGCCGTTTTCCAGGCTCTATAGGTCTCAGGAGTGGGAAACTCACTCAGCCTCAACGAATCAGCTTCCTTTGCTTTTGGCCGATCATGCTGATTCCGGACAAAGCTGAGGAGGGCCGCACGGAACTCCGCCTCGGTGGTCTCGGGACCAGTCAACCGATCAATGTTCGGCTGATTTGTCGGCTGATTTTGCTGACTTCGGCTGTTTTCTTGCTCCGAAGACCGTCTCGCATGATCTTTGATATCAAACTGCATTGCACCAGAAATAGGATCAGTCCAACTCTGCTGTGGAATAATCTGAGGCATAGGTCCAGAAGTTTGTGCATTCTGCGTTGGAAAAAGACGCGGATCATCAAAGATACTGCCCCTCTTATCCAAAAACGACTCCGAACTGACGTTCTGAAAACTTGACGCAGGCTGAGGATCTCCGCGCACCATTTCACGCTGCGCCTTTTCGAGATCGTTCCTCAGACGCTCAACGGTGTCGTTCAGCCCGTTGATCGTGTCCTGCATGGCGTGGTTCTCCGCCAAAATACTGTCTCTCTGCTCACCGACCGCCTTTTCCGAGTTCTCCATCACAACAGTCTCAGCATGTAAGCTTTGTGCGAAAGCGCTATACTGTGCCGTTCTTTGCGACACAGCTTCGTTCACTTCGGCAGAAATTGCTCCCCGCATCTGGCTAACCTGGGCGCTGAAGAAAGCGCGGGACTCTGCGAACTGCTCGTGCAGCTCAAGGGTCCGGCGGTTGTTCTCCTCGTCCAGGCGATGCACAGTTTCCGCCAAATGAGCGCTATATTCCGCCCTTGCAGCATCCATAGCAACGCGATGTAACGTGTTGGCCTCTTCCCTAACAGCGTCACCCGTGTCGTTATGCACATGCATGATGTTCTGGGTGGCTTGATAGTTTGTCGCGAATCCGAATACGTTTCGAGGATCGCGAGGGTCGACAGGACCATTGGGTGCAACTGCACCTTCACTACCGACACCAACATCTCCAGATATATTGTAAATGGCAGGCATATCTCCGGATGCCATGGCGATCTTTGTACAAGCCTTTACGCCTGATAACCTGTGTTATCAAGCCTAGGCCACCTAAGGGAATACCTAGGCAAGCAGCAAACCGTTGACTACCTTTTCACACTGGTGTCAGTGCTCTTGAAGTCTGTAGCGGCGGAGCATGTACAAGTACACTCATGCACAGGGTTGGAACCTGAATCCACAATAACCCCAATCACAGCACCCAACTTCTGCAGGCTCCTCCGTTGGCTCTCGCCACCTTCATCACTGAGCTGCACGCTCGCGGCCGCGATCACTGCAGGGAAGCCGGTTCTTTCCCAGGACCCGGCAAACTCTGCGTAGTGACGGTTGAAGCAGCAAATTCGATCTGCCTGCGTGGCAAGGAGCAGAGCAAAGGGGCCCCAACACCCGGGACAACAGCTGCTTGCAACATAGGTGTAATTTATATGAGCTTCGTTTTGGAGGGTACCCTTTTAGGGCTTGGTTTAAAGGAACTCAAAGGGAAGCCACTGATATTTGATCGAAAAAGCAAACCCAGGCAAGCCTTGCTATATAACCCCTATGAAACCCGGCAGTAGAACCGTCTATGGACCAACCAATTGGGGTTTTGCTGCACCCGTTTCGACTGCAAGATCATACTGCACGGTGTTTTGAACCGCCACGTATTCCTTCGAAACCATCAAAAACGCGGCAGGCTTGCTTTCCGGTTTGTTTTCCCCCGACGTGTGTGCGAGGGCCGGGGTGGGGGGGTGCGGGGGGGAAACTCCTGAAATAATACTGTGGATAGTCGAAATCCATTTCGCACCACTTTGCAATCAGGGGAAACCATAACTTGTTTTCGTATTTGCAGGGGAATGCTCAGGGCAAAAAATAGGAAAAGGTTTTTAGGTAGTGCCTAAGAGGATTTTGCAACCATCCACAGTCCACACGTCGGCCCAAGCTGCAGTCTCCCGGTCCGCACCCCAGCGGAGCGGATTCTGGGTCGGCGCCACGCAGGTGCCGTGGGCTTTCTGTGACATGATCTCCTGACCGCGGGAGAGGTCACGTAGGATCGCCACGGGAGGGTGTTTTTTTGTGCGGGGCACATCTAGGGGTACCTTCCATTTCCATTATTTCAAGGAATCCTTCTTTCTAGAGAACCTTCAGAAATCGAGGGAAAACGGATCTGGTTTTCGAAACGATTGGGGAATCAACCCTGCAAGCATGTCTGAAACACTGAAAACAACTACTCAAGATCTTGTCCGCAACAAGTCTTGTGCACTTGGAGAAGATTTCCGGGAACCAGTCTATGTTTGAGAGTATGAGGGACTCTCTAAATGTCGAAACAAAAATGCTACGGGTGTGTCGTTTTGGGCGCAAGCCTTCACACGGGTCTGCGATGAAAATTCAGAAACCCCAAAATGCACGTTCGTGTATCAAATTCCTATATGCTTGTACCAAATCCCCATTGTTCGGGGTAGAGAATGGGGAACACCAAATCCAATGCTTGTACCGAAACCACTCTTGGGGTAGAGAATGGGGCATACCAAAGCCCATTCTTGTACCGAATCCCCCATTCTTGGAGTATAGCATCCAACCATTCTCGGAATACCAAGTCCCCATTCTTGGGGTATGAAATCCAAACCATTCTCGGAATACCAATTCCCCATTCTTGGGCAATGAAAACCAACCATTCTCGGAATACCAAATCCCCCATTCTTGGAGTATAGCATCCAACCATTCTCGGAATACCAAGTCCCCATTCTTGGGGTATGAAATCCAAACCATTCTCGGAATACCAATTCCCCATTCTTGGGGTATGAAATCCAACCATTCTCGGAATACCAATTCCCCATTCTTGGGGTATGAAATCCCCATTCTCAGAGTCAAAATCCACGCTGCAGGTACTGAAATCCGACGCTTCTCGGCCGATCGTCTCCTCAGAGCCCTTGATGGTGTCCGGGGCCGATTCGCCCCCATTGGCGCAGCCCCCCAGCAGACCTCAGTTGAGGCCGGCTTCGAAGACGAGGACCCCCCCCCCCAAAAAGGTCGTCGCTTCTGGTTGTTTGCCCGGTTCTTCTTGGATTTTGTAAGGTTTGGAGGTCGAGCTTGGGGCGCGTGGCATGTTTTGTCCTGCGTTTTCAAAAAAAATGGAACCTCGAAATGGGTGCCTTTGGCCCGCAAAAGACACACAAGACACACCGACACTTGAGTACAGGCTGCCAGAGCTCGTCCAAGTTGCAGGGCACTGCTAGCAACACGCTCAGCAAGCAACATGCTCGTTTGGAAGCAAACGCCATCGCGATGCTGGTACAGAAGCGAACAAATGGGCTGATGCTAGCTGTGTAATGGCAAAGTGGTTTGGCACATCATCTGTTTCTGAGAAATATGGCCCGCGCGGCCAGGCACAGTTCAGCCAACGGCCGCATGTCGCGCGAGATTGTGTGAGTCCCAAGCAACATGTTTCCCCGAGACACCGGAGATCTCCTGCCAGGAACAGGCCGTCCAGTTCGCTGGCTCTCAGAACTTGATCCCAACTAAAAGGAAGCATGCAACTCAGGGCCTTTGGCTCGGGTCTCTTGGGCGAAACAAATCGAGGGTCCAACTTCGAGAAAAGTACATGGCACCACACCCCAAGCCCCAACAAGGTTCCATTTGTTGATTCCACTTGATTCCCAAAGGAGTCTGAACCCGCCCCCATGCCAAGATGTTATCATGTCCTTCACGAGCCATGGAAGGCCATCGACCTGGTGAAGCTTCGCTTCCGAACACGGCTCGGGCCTTTTGCCGCTCGTCACGGCGCCATACCCCGCCTTGCCGGGGAGCTTCCATGGAAGTGCCTGAATTCAATGCTACAGGGCGCCTTTAGAGGCGAAGAAGTTGTTGGCCTGAGTGGTTGCAGTGACTATACATCATGTGGGCCGCAATGAAATCCCGAGAGGGCGTGGGAAAATTCGAGCCGTTTGTGTGGGATTTCTCGGAGAACTTCGCCTCTCTCCGAAACATAGATTGTTTCTTTGACCGAACCTCGTCTCCCCTGCATTGTTTTCAAACTGCACAAAGGCTGTCTGTCTGTTTAGGGGGTTCATGTTGAAAACCACCAAAAAGTGCATGCTGAAACCACCCACAACTCAAAAGATGTTTGGCTACAAACCGGCAGCAGCCGGCGGCTTGTAGCTTTTTCGCAGAGGAAAAAAAAAGAACTGTGCCAAAAAACGAGAAAATCCAACGCCGGGCCAGAAAGAAATAAGATGGAGGTTCCTTGTTTGAGGCCCCTTTGTGGTGTTGACGGGAAACCAACCAGAAAACCGATGCCTCTTTTCTTCTTTTCCTTTTTTTCTTTGGGAGGGGGTCCAGAGATCTCAGCCGCGGAATGCTTCAAGCTAAAGCAGAAAGTGTCGCATGCGGCCGTGGGTCAAAATTTAACCACCAGGTTCCCAGTTTGGGGTTTATCCTATTCTTTTTCCTGGGCTGCCCTCAAATCCCCCACTTAAAAGTTTAACTTTTAGGGGGTTACATGGAAACTACCACTAAACACTAAAAGGTTTCAAACAAAAAGAAAAAGCAAACGGCATGGCTTGGGGCCAAGTCTTGCCCACCACCGCCATGTTTTTCACCGATGCGCGCCTTGCGTCTCGACCGACCGCGCTCCGGCTCCAAGGCACGAGTGATGAAGGGATCTCCATCCTCCTCGGGCGAAGAGTTTTGATCACGCGGTCCGTGATACGTCGTCACAATTCATCTAGGGGTTGATTCCTCGTCCATTCTTTTCAAGCATCGCTCTTTTCAAAGAACCAGAACCCTTCTTCTGGGTTTCAGGAGGATTTCTATAAAGAAGGATCCCTGGAAAGAATGGGGAAAGTACCCCTAGAATTAAGGAAACCACCAAGAAGGATTTGACTTTCACCGCATGGGAAGGCTACCCATGTTCATTTTTGGGGCCAGGAATATTGGTCAACCCCCAAATGGGACCTATAGAAAGAAACAAAAATATGCGTGCGGCTTGGACTCTGCGCCTCTTTTTTCAAACGACGCAAGGATGTCCGATTCCGATTCTTGTTCAGCTTCCACGTGAAACTCCGACGGATTTGATGTCCGTCAAAGCTATGAACCCATTTCCGGACCGCGTCTTTGGAGGCACAAAATGACATCAACGTCCAAAACGGGTCCTCCCATTTTTTCGTCAATCCCCCAAGTGCATCAGCAGTTTCTTTTCTCAGGTGCAACAAATGCTTTCACGCCGTCGTTTTGGAGCAACTGGGACCGCAAAGGTCTCAAAGGCAAAACCCAAGTCTTGGGCTTTCGGCAGCGGCTACTGGGCCTAAATTCTAGGGCTTGATTCCTTCTCCATTCTTTTCAGCCATCCTTCTTTTCAAAAACCGATCGCCATTTCCTCAGAAAATTGTGGGCGGTTTTCTAGAAAGATCCGGATCCCTGGAAAGAATGGAAATGGAAGTTACCCCTGGATAAACGGGTGCGTGCGTCTTAACCTTAAAAATAGGAGACCCAAAAAGTGGAGGCTTCAAGCAACCCCCCCAAAAACATGATCCCTTCAAAAAGAGACAGCCTCAAATTGCGCCGCATAGCATGCGGCTGGAAGCTTGTCCAAAATCGGAGGTTCTAAACATCCATGACCAACCCGGGAGGGGGGCGTCAACTCCAAAGCTCTTGGATAAAATTGCCCAAGAGCTCCACACATATTTCGGAATTCTCAACATGAGCAGCGGAGAAAAGTCACATTTCCAAACGGACATGGGAAACTTGGGTTGGTCCCCCCAAGAGATCCTCAAACCAGCAGTACTACCATCAATCTTGTCAGCGACTTATATGGCTATGGGTCAAAAAAAACGTACCCCCAATGAACATCCCAATCCCCACTAAAATAGACTACAATGGGTGGTGCACCTACCCCAAAATGGGATCCCATTGGTGTTGACCCACGGCCAGATTCGGCACCTGAGTATTGAATCCCCATGTCAAGCGCCTTGGGTGAGTAGAAGCTCATCCCCATGGGGCGGGTTCTCAAAAATAGGAATCCGTCCATGGCCCAAAATGGGCTTACGCTTGTCCCTTTGGCTTCCCTTCAAACACACGTTGGTGTTTGTCTTGGTTTCCCTCCGGTTTCCATTTTGGTGGAAAGAGGGGTACCCTCCCAAGTGCAAAACATAAAACATGCACCGGAACCGGTCCCCGCAAGCGGAGATCTTTCAGGAAACCCTGTGCAGGTTCCATGTTAATCTTTGAGGGTACCTTTTACAACCCTTGGCATGGTACGTCGTTTGCAGCCCCCTGAACCAGAAATCTCAACAGAACCAAAAGAACAGAAGAAGAAACAAAACTCGAAGCTTGAGCCAACTTCGAAGGGTAGCCCTCTAAAAAAACCGACGAGACCGCCCCATCTGCCCATCTGCTGTGTAGCCCTGCGGCGAAGTTGGTGCCAGAGCCCACGGGCGGCGACACCGGCCTCAGCGAGACCGGCGCGACGTCTTCTGCTTTTCTGTTTTTTTTTTGCGTGGCGGCCAACCCATTTTTAGACTTGGATCCGGAAAAGAAGAACAAGCCTTGGACTTACGAAACCCTTATGGGCTCTAGCAAAAAGAACGGGCCGTTTTGCAGTTTCCTTTTTGGTATGCCCAGTGGATGCCGGTTTCCACTGCAGTAGCTAAGCAACCATGTGCTCTTGGTTTTTAAAGGGCGGTCCGCTTCATTTGCCGCTTTCAGATAAATGGATCCACTGGGATCGGCTTGCAAAAAACAGGGGTGCTGATGAGCAGTTCCCGAAAAAAATGAACCAAAAAACCTGGGTATGGCTCAAATTTAAAGAGCTGGGGTTACGCGGGCTTTAGTCTTGGGTTCCATTTACCAAGGTGCCATTTTGGTACCACTTTTTTGAGCCACAGCCACCTAAAATCATGCCAACAACAATTAAGACTTCGCAAACATGTTGCAGCAAACACCATTCTGAATGACCGGTTCAACCAGTGCAACTACTAAACCGGGTAGAACCATTTGACTTGACAACCAAGTGAAACCAGCCACTCAAATATCAACGCGTTTCCTACAGTGGCAAACGCCTTTTTTGGACGAACAGGGCCCTGCTCCACCCGCCGCAAGTCGCACTGAGAGCACCGCAGGAGCCAGAGCAGCATCCAATCCCCAAGGACTGCTCTGATCTGGCAGCGTGCGACGGTCATTGGAAGTGCTCAAGAGGCAAAGCTGGGGAAGCTTCCAACGTTCTTTCCAGGGATCCTTCTTTTCGGGAAGGCGTCGAAAAAATCCGAGGAAACGATGAGCTGGCTGTTGAAAGAAGGATGGGTGGAAAAGAATGGGGAACCAAACCCTAGCAAAGCACTTGAAACAAACGGATATTTGCCTCAGCCTCATAACGAAAACCTGTCAAATCGGTCTACCCGAAAAGGCGGGGCTTGCCCCGCATGCGATCGCACTGTTGCAAGCCTGCTGCACATCATGCCCAACACCTGCTTTCTTCTTCTGTCACCATCAGACTCTCTGGGATTCTCACACTTCGCGCTTTCTTCTGCCTTCTGCTTACCCCTGGGAGCTGCGATTCGCCCAAAAATTGGGCGAATCGCCCCCAACAAGATGCCAAATGGCCTTTCCAAAAACGCCAACCGCCGCCGCGTCCGAAGCTCGGCCCGGCACATTGCCGTTGATCCCGCGGTCGTGCACGGAGCTCCCGTAACCTGAGAGGTTAGCTCTGGCGCACTCTCGCTTCCGATCCAGCGAATGGGATCAGAAGTAACCCAACTCTTGCAAGACGCCCCTCAAATGGTCGACCCAAATGACTCTAAAGTCCAGGATCAGGATGCGAGCCATGGAAGACTGAATTCAGCTTCCCCCGCTGGTGGGTTGAACAGGCTGTTTGCACCCTGGCAACAGGCCTGCGGCTCCTGTCTTTGAGACCCCGTTTTGCCAAATGGCGCGACGCTTCTCCGGCTGGCGTCTTGTAGCTCAACCACAAAAACCGGGGTGCCCCTCAGAAGCTGATTGTCTTTGCAGCCCCCAGCGAAAAATGAACAGAACCAACTAAAAACCTAGAGACGCGCCAACAGCGAAGTACAGCCCAGCTATGCCCAACGGGAAGCAACGCCGTTTCGGAAGCAAACGATGGTCCGACAGGCATCCAGCGAGCTTTAGATGGCGAACTGTTCTCGTTGCACCCCTTGAGAATGGCTGGACACACATCCCGACCATGTGCTTTACTGATGTCCACCAGATGGGTCCAACTGAAAAAGGAACACCCAGATTGCACCGCAATGTTGTTGGCAGAGCTGAGCGCCGCTCTTTGGTTCTTGGTGTTCTTCTCACAGAACTCGATGGTGGTCATGGCCTCTTGGCCAGGAAAACCACGCTCGAGTCTTGCGAGCAAGTTCGAAACAAAATGAGTCAGCGGCCTGCAGCATGAGCCAAATGTGGAAGAGGAAGAACAAAGTGATCCTGAGTCATCTTGGTGCGATAGGTAGGATGGTCTTTAAAGGGGTAATTCAGGGTCTTTCTTTAGAGGACCCCCAAAATACTAGTTGTCCTTTGGGTTTGAGTTTAAAACCAACGAAGTTCGCCAATAACAAGACAAGCCCATTTGTCTAGGCATTCCCGCGTTTCGATTGCCTATACAACTGCAGGCTGCACTGAGGGACACAAACATGCATGCAACTCACCTGGGGTTGTCTCTCAGTAGGAGCCCCCGCCGTGTTCTTGGCACCAAAACAAAGTACCGTCAAAAATCACACATGTACATGCACTATAGGTATGTTTTGTATATGTGTAAACATGTATGAGCATATACATGTATATATATAAACCACATATACATATACATACACACATACATACACACATGTGGTATCTCGCTCGTCCACGGGTGAGCGAAGCAAGGCGCAGGATGCCCAAGAAGGCAGAGAGCGTCTCCGCAAAGAGCACCAAAAACCTGGAGACGACTCTCTCTCTCTCTCTGGCTGGTCCAAAGATGCGAACCGAAAATGGCGGCTTGCGCCCTGGGGAAATGGAACCAAAGATTTTCCAGCCGGTCCCTGATGGTCTTGTTTCGACCCATGCCCCTCTCTCGTGAAGCTTTGCGCGCCTTAAACTCAAAAAAAAAAAGAGACCTGCCGGTGGTCTAAAAGCAGCTACATGATGCAAGCGGACAGCCAGACGCTTGAAGCGGAACTGCACTTTGCGTTGTGACTCGCGTTATTCGGAGAAGAAAAAATGGAAATGATGAAAAAAAAGGACCTAGCTTCTGACAGGCAGGCCTTTGATTCCTATAAATCGCTTCATCTGTGTGTTCAAGGGAATCCCCTCCAAATAGCTAAATCCAAAAACTTTGGCACAGGGTTCTGTTCACCCCAACAAACCTGAGCTTTCCTTACAACCACCTTGGGGAAAGACAACTTGGTGTGTGTCTCAACTTGCCTGGCAATAGAATGCAGAAACCGTAAACCTGGGTGTGTGTGTGTGTCTCAACTTAGGGAATAAAATGCAGGCATGAGGGAAACCTTCGGTCTTTTTCCCTCTCAAACCCTATTTCTGCCGTCCACGGTGTGCCCGCGTTCCACGGCGCGCTTGCTCCGGATACTTCTTCCCGCTTGGGCGTTCCCTGTCTCCGGGCACTTGGATGGGGCTCACGGGAGGGTTCTGCATGCCTCACAACTCCCAAGTCCTTTGATGCTGAAGGGAAGAAATCTTCGCACCGTTTTGAAAACCACGGCTTTCCAGCCAGAACATGCGTTGTTGTTGTGTGTGTGTTTCTTTTTTTTTTTTTTTTTACGGGGCCAACCGCAGAAACCAGGGTTTCTGACCAAAAGTGATGAGAATCACCACTATAAACCAGAAGGCCAGATGCTCATCTTTCCCCAAAAGGCATTTTCCCCTAAAGAGGGTTGGAAACCAGGGAAGCCAAGGGGTATGAACACGGTGTGTGCGCTTTCAGCCTTCGACAACTAAAGGGGACACACCTTTATTGAACCGGTTTGAGGCGCCAGCATCTGCGTGAACGCGGAATTCTGCTGCACGGCAGACTCCACCGTCCTCGGAAAACCCCGCGCATAGAAGCACATCGCCGCGCCCAGCTTCGTCCGTCTGGGAATCCTGGAAGCCTGCAAAATGGTCACTCCAGAATCTGGCCATATAGCCCCCTGAGTTTTAGGAACCTTTTACATTTCTTGTTCACATACCCTAGTTTGGTCGATGGCCATCCTTACGGCTTTTGGTCTTTTCTGACTTTCACATGGTGGGCACCCGCTCAAAAGCACCCGCTCAGCACTGCACACATGCCTGCTAAATCAGAACGCACACCCGCTCAAGGGGCGCCCGCTCAGCGCTGCACACATGCCTGCCAAATGACACGCACACCCGCTCAAGCGCGCCCGCTCAGCGCTGCACACATGCCTGCCAAATGTTAAGTACACCGCTCAAAAGCACCTGCTCAGCACTGCACACATGCCTGCTAAATCAGAATGCACACCCGCTCAAGGGGCGCCCGCTCAGCGCTGTACACACGCCTGCCAAATGACACGCACGCCCGCTCAAGCGCACCCGCTCAGCGCTGCACACATGCCTGCCAAATGTTAAGTACACCGCTCAAGGGCACCCGCTCAGCACTGCACACATACCTGCCAAATGATAAGCACACCCGCTCAAGGGCACCCGCTCAGCACTGCACGCATGCCTGCCAAATGATAAGCACACCCGCTCAAGGGCAGCCGCTCAGCACTGCACGCATGCCTGCCAAATGCTAAGCACACCCGCTCAAGGGCCCGCTCAGCACCGCACACACGCCTGCCAAATGATAAGCACGCCCGCGCAAGGGCAGCCGCTCAGCACTGCACGCATGCCTGCCAAATGATAAGCACACCCGCTCAAGCGCGCCCGCTCAGCGCTGCACACATGCCTGCCAAATGTTAAGTACACCGCTCAAAAGCACCTGCTCAGCACTGCACACATGCCTGCTAAATCAGAATGCACACCCGCTCAAGGGGCGCCCGCTCAGCGCTGCACACATGCCTGCCAAATGACACGCACGCCCGCTCAAGCGCACCCGCTCAGCGCTGCACACATGCCTGCCAAATGTTAAGTACACCGCTCAAGGGCACCCGCTCAGCACTGCACACATACCTGCCAAATGATAAGCACACCCGCTCAAGGGCACCCGCTCAGCACTGCACGCATGCCTGCCAAATGATAAGCACACCCGCTCAAGGGCAGCCGCTCAGCACTGCACGCATGCCTGCCAAATGCTAAGCACACCCACTCAAGGGCCCGCTCAGCACCGCACACACGCCTGCCAAATGATAAGCACGCCCGCGCAAGGGCAGCCGCTCAGCACTGCACGCATGCCTGCCAAATGATAAGCACACCCGCTCAAGAGCACCCGCTCAGCACTGCACACACGCCTGCCAAATGATAAGCACACCCGCTCAAGAGCACCCGCTCAGCACTGCACACACGCCTGCCAAATGATAAGCACGCCCGCTCAAGAGCACCCGCTCAACACTGCACACACGCCTGCCAAAGGATAGCACACGCCTGCCAAAGGATAGCACACCTGGCAAAGGATGAGCACACCCGCTTAAGGGCACCCGCTCAGCACTGCACCCATGCCTGCCGAAGCTTTAGCATTCTTAATGGAACGAGCCTTTACAAAGGCTACACACCCATTCAGAAGAGCCCCCCAAAATGGTCAGTGGGATCGCGGAAATGTAAGGAAGACCTATGCAAAGGCTACCCTTCAACATACTGTACATGGACGAAATGCTGCACCACTTTGAAACCATGGCAAACCATTGTTTGTTGGTATTTACAGAGGAATCATCATCCCATGGTTACTCATCATTCCATGGTTGCTCAGGTGGTGCAGGAGTTCGTCCATCCACAGTAGCGCCGCTGGGAGCTGGAAGATCAATTCCTTTTCAAGGGACCCTCGGTGTCAGGTTCGGGAGGGTACCGAGAGGCAGCTGAGGCTTCATCCCCTTGCGAGGCCCCATTGCTTCGAGAGCCCGGCGGGATCATGGTCAGAGTGATGAAGTTGCAAGCAGCTGCAGAGTACAGCAGAAGCAGAAAGAAGTACTTGTGGTTCCTGGCCGTCGAAATGAGCTACGAGTCAGTCAGCTAAAAATGAGTGGAAGACATTGCCAACGCCAAGCTGGGAGCGCCCGAATCCCACGCAGTTGTAGATCCACGGGCAATGATGATCCATCTTCAAGATGCAGGTCTTGCCTGTGCTCGGTGAGCGAATACTCCAGCTCACAAATAGCCGTACAGTCAAAATCTGGGTGTGTCTTTTTGTTCGTACCCTTCCTGGGGTTACAAAGGGGACAGAAGCACACCCACCATTTTTGGGGGTCCTTCATTTTGAGACAAACCCATATGTTGCTCTGGGAAGATTCTCCAAGGTCTGTTGAGAGTTGAGATTCGCAAGATGCGGCTTTGCCTTGAAAGAGAGCGACTTAGAAATCAAGGAGCCATCCTGCTTGTTCCTCGAATGGATGTGTGCCTTTTCTTCTTCAAAAAGAGCGAGCAAGCCAAGTGCGCGGCAGACACGACAATGATGACATCTATCTGGCTTGTACCTTAGTCACCAAGACATGCCGACAAGATGCGAGGTGTCTTACAACGCTGTGTCCTTTTGAAACCTGGGCGGCAGATTTGGTTTCCCTTTGAAGCCACAAAAAGAGGGGTACCCTCAACAGGGATCCTTACATTATACACCTGATCATTGCCTTGTCAATGGTGGTTTCCCCGTATTTTGGAGGAAAAAGCCATGTTTCAAATGGGCAAAATGTATCTTTTCAGGAGCCCTGCTCAAAGAAGAAAAAAACAACACATGTCTCCGAGCAGCTACAATATCACCACCACTGCCATTACAAAGAGGACTTCTACTGCTATTGCTACTACTGCCACGAAACCATTCTCTTGTCAGCTTGGCTGAGGTCCTAACTTAGCACACCATTTGCAGTGCCTTCGCTCGCCCGTCCTTTTCTTCTCCTGCAGAGACCCCGATGCTCACACTCAAAGGAACCAGGACGGCAGCAATTTGGCCTCTTGGTATGTCCGTTTTCCACATGACCCCCCCACCCATGGCAAAGCTGGCACTTGGGGCGTCCTTTGTTTCCACCTGCTGCACGTCGCGGTCTGGCACATACTCCCAGGATGCATCAACCTGGCGAAAATCTCCCCACCTCCTTCCAATTTCCCACATGTCCCGGCCTCCTTTGAAGGGATGTTCCCTGGATTCGTGGCCACCTGCGGTGGTTTTTGGTGGTCTTCCTTTTGCCAGCGCAACCATCCGGGTCCTTTTGCCAGCCTTTTTGGGGAGAGGAACCTACACTTTTCGGGGGCCATGCGGTCTTCCAACAAGGGCCTGTCTGAGGACGCCAGCTCTTAGGAATCAGGCAACCGGCCGGCTTGGGCAAGCGGCACAGCGTCAATACTGGGGCTACCGCCGCTCTCACATAGCAAAGAAGCATCATCAGAGTGATCTGAGATGGGCGCACAGTGCAATCCTGCGACTCCTGTTGAAGCATCTGCAGGTATGACGGTATGACTTCTTTCACCGAAGAGGGAGCGGAAAAGAGTCAGCAAGGGCAGCACTTGACATGAGATGCACGGTCGCCATAGTTTGAACCGCACACATTTCCGAGGATGGCACGCCATTGAACACTGCTGCCTGGATCAAGCCATCATGGTACCTGCGATGCACAGAACAGGAAGACTTCCAGACTCTGTTCGCCCCCCCCCCCCACCACCCCCAAAGCAAAACCTCCTCCCTCACCCGGCTTTCAGGTGCTGGCGTGGCAGTGTTCTGCAGTAAGGGGACGAGGTGATAGAAGCTGTAGATCAGATACAGGCTCACCATGTTCACTATCACAAATACGACCTCGGCACTCGCACGGTAGCGCCAGCACTCGGAACTCGCCTGGAGGGGAAGTTCTCATGTCCCAAGGTTCCGGACCGGAAGTACCTGGCAAAAGACGGAGCAACCACAAATGAAAACGCCCAAAAATTCAATCAAATCCGGAAACAAACGCAAAAAGGAAACGAGCAAAGGCTCCCATCCTAAACAAATATCGAATTGTTTAGCCTCAAGTGCTTTACCATTGGCTTCTGCCATTGCCTGATACACTGGCAACGCAACATGACTTGTCTGCTGCCTGGGCAGGGCGTGATATTCAAAGCTCTTGCAGGCGTGTGTTAGAGTCTACCCGTTGATCTCAGATCAAAAGCCTAGTGAGTTGCTCATTAACATGGTGCCCATGTGACTCTGGCTTCTGAACGCAAGCCTTTCAAGTACTTGTTTGCAAAAACAGAATCTACCAGACACTGCTCATATTCCTTTGCAGCCGTTCAGAACACAATTCTGGTGAAGCTTGCCTTTGAAATACCCATCTGGACGTGTTTGCCTAACCTCACCTGGAGCGTTGTTCGGTTGACGGCTCGCCTTCAGGGTCATAAGGTCCAGCATCGCCGGCGACAGACGGAGTCCGCCCGGCCGCCGCAGCCGTGGCCGGAGTCCCCCCAGTCGCGTCACCGTCACTGGAGCCAAAAGGCGATGACCAAGTTGTCTCTGCAATACCAACAAACTATGGTTTCTTGGTGCGAACGGATTCGTCCAACAGCATGAACTGCAAGGACCACAGTCTCTCTTTTCCCAGCACCCCTAGAAGAGGACTCAAAGCTTGGGAACACCACACAAAATCCACGAAGCCCCTCTCTGAAGATTCCACGAAGCCCCTCACGCATGGAGATTTTCCTCTCGCTATCCTTGGGGCGCTGCCAGAGAGCCACAAATCAACAATCGGCTTCCCACGAATTGGTTGTTCAGATTGGTTTGGAGGTTCTGGTGACCTGGTGTGGTTTCCCACCCACAGAAACCAAGGCTTCAAATCCCATTCCAAACCACCAATCCGAATCACCTGAGTGGGTTGCCTGCGTGTGCGCGTTCATGGAGAACTCTTGGGCTTTTTAAAAAAAGAAGAAGACTGAAACTAGTTTTTTTCTAGTTCTTCCGGGAAAAAAAAACTGGCGGGTGTCATGGTAGGGTAAACTTCACCAAAGGTCTTTGTGCCACGTGCCATTTGGCCGTAAACCGATTCCAATCGAGTTCAAGGATGCGCTTTGCACAGACTTGTTTTGTGAGCGCAGGTAACCTACGCAACAAGTCAAAAGGTCGTGGCTACTCAGATCAGTCCTTCCTTTGCTGGTGGCGACTTGGACAAAATCCATTTCAAGAGTTCGAACACAGGCTTCCGGCTTGGCTCTCACTTGTGCTTCTGGATGCGCGGCTTGGGCTTCTTGAAAGACAAATGGATCTGATGAGTTGTGCCACACGCAGGAAATTTCGTCGGACCCTTCAGTGGACATCATGTACGTGGGGATGACGCCAGGGTATCCCAACCAAGCAAATCACAGCCACATCTCTGCGTACTCGTAAGCAAGTCGCAGCCCAGCCCCATGCACACCCGCATGAAGGTTTAAAACTCAGGCCGTAAGGTTCAGTTGCGACCGGAGCCCCAATAAACCCATGGGGTTCAAACCTCGGCATGAAAGGTCTCTATGAGTATTCCTCCGAAGCAATGCGCGCATTCGTTTGTCACAAAAAAAAATGCAGTGCTGTCCAGGTCTTCTGGGCCCAACGCCATCCATCCAGGGACATGGGACAAAGGGCTCAACCCCCTGCTGCTGCATTCAACCTTGTGGCCTCTCCCCGTCCCGCACCACACATTGACAGACTGAGAAGCAACTGCTATCCCATGCTCTTTCTCAGCTTTTCGCGGGTTAAATAGACTAAAGAAGAAGAAGCGACGTAAGGGGACAACTGCGCTGGAAACCAAACAGGCCGAAGCTCACCTCACCCGCCGTCCAAAAAAAAAAAGGAAAACAACGCACCGGAGCCTTGATGTACTTCAGCCGGGCCAGCTTGTGCGCACCAGGCCGATACGACATGCCCAGCAGCTCTTTATCCAGCCTGGGAGAAGCGAAGAGGGGGCCTTGAGTCAAGGCGCGCCTCGGTTTGCATCGTTCATGGCGAACCAAAGATGCGTTCCACTCCCCAAAGCTCATCCACCTATTTCGTCGTTTTGGAAGGTTGGACCCCCCAAACTGGTCGTGTTTGATCCTTTCGGGCTCCCCTTCAAGCCAACCCCAAGGGACCCACGAAGACAGCCCCAAGTCAATTTTGGGCCACTGCCACGCCCGATTCACCCTCGTGGGCATCGAAGGGCTTTGAACACGCTGTGTGGGTATGGACCGTCCCCTATTGAAACCACGCAACAAAGAGTGCCCCCTTAAAAAAAAAAAAATGAAGCCAGGATCCCGTCCTGGCTAGGAAAAGCAGAAAAGCTTTGGGGTGGAACATCCTATCCTGGGACTCCTGGACTCCTGTCACGCCCCTCGGCACAACAGACCCCCTCCCGAGAAAAAAAAAATGCTCCGGCTGCCATAGCTGTCCTTTTGGCAAAAACATCGATGGGTTTCCCTGGATGGAATGAAACCAATCTAAACCAGTGGCTTGCCCATCTATTTCTGACCAAACTAACCCAAAAAAAGACGCCAAAAGAAGCGCCGCCCGCGGGGCAGGCCTTCGCAGGCCCTTCTTCTTGCACTTCTCCAGCCCGGAAGCCACCAGAAACGAGCCTGGGCGCCGCCGGAGCTGGGCCTGGCGGGAGCTGGAGGCTCCCCACTAAAAAGCTTGGCCACGCCAAGTGATCCAGCCACTCTGCAAAGGGTATAGGGCGCCGTGGCTCAAAAAGATGGTACCCAACATGGCACCAGAAGGTAAATGGAAGACTAAAACCTGCGTAACCCTAGCTCTTAAATTTTGAGCCACACCCGTATTCCAACATTTAGAGGGGTAGTAGGAACCCCTCTTAAATGACACTCCAAGGAAGCCTTACAATGAGAGAATCGGGATGATGTCAGGTTTCAGACAACACCGCTCGGGAAACATCAGGCAACACAGTGCCACAACCATTTTGGCAAAGGCAACTAAGTCATCTATCCACTCTACAAAGGGTAGATACCAAGGTACCCCTCTTAGGCATTCATGAATGACATCTTCTGATTGTGCCTGCAACATCTGCGAACGGACGCGCCTGCTCGCAGATTTTCGACTCGTAGCAAACTGATGTAGCATCCACACTTGGCTTGACTCTGCTGAAACAAGATATCGGCATCCAATTGTCAGAACTGAGCAAACGCAAACATCCTCCGTCGTAGGGCGATTGTTTCCCGCTTGAAAAAAGCGCACATGCGTTTCCATCAGAAGCGGACCTTCATTCTGCCTATGCACCAAAATTCTAACGAGTCCCGCTACATCTGGCCCGCTCTCACTTCCCCTTCTTCAGCGGATTGGGCAAGTCCTGGGCCAATTGGAACAGCTGAATTGCCCCTCGCAGGCACCTCTGGATGTGTGTGTGTGTGCTCTTGAGCTGCTGCCCTTTGCCCAGGAAAGTGGAGAAACCCGGAAAAAACCCGAATCAAGGGAACCCCATCTGGCCCAAAGGCCAGGCTGGGGGTGTCCATCTGGCCTTGCCTTGCTTTCACGACCAAATGGAGCACATGGACCCACGTGTTTTCGTCAGCTCCAGAAGTTTGGCTTCCCTTTCAGCCCAAACTTTACCAACCAGCCTTACAAAGAGATGCACTTTGCCCAACCAAGATCTCCAAAGTGGATCCGAACATCCCAAGGTAGGACACCGATCCGACTCTGAGAACTTCTGGGGGACGCTGCGCTGCCGTTCAGGTGGTGGCCCACAGTCCAGGTCTGGCCGTAGCGCTCCTGAGGAGTGCGTGTTCCGGTGCGCGAAGAGCTGCGCAAGGTTGGCCCTGACATGTTTTGGTGAGATTAACATTTTGCATCGCCATGTCTTGTAGGAGTACGGAAATCAACTGACATCTTCTTGTGACATTACGTTCTTTCATCGCCACGTTTTTGCGTGATCCTTTGGGGGGCAAAAACTGCATCACAAGACATGAGGGCGCAAAGTTTACCATCACGAAACATGGCGATGAAAAAACATGGCGACGATAATTTTGATATAACACAAACATGGCAATAAGAACTGCAATATCACAAAAACATGGCGATGCAAAACTCAATATCACAAAAGCATGACCATGAAGACTGTAAAATCACAAATGCATAGCGGTGAAAACTGTAGCATCACAACAACCATGACGATGAAATCGTTCATGTCAGAGTAACATGGCGATGAATAACTTAATACACAAAATCACGGCGATGAAAACTTTGGCCTCACAAAGACACGGCGACGAACACTTTAACAGCGCAGAAGCATGGCGATGAAAACGCTTAAATCAACAAACATGGCAATGAGAACTTAAATCACGAAAACAGGCATATTCAACATCGAATACCACAAAAACGCGCGATGAAAATTTCAGTATCATGAAACACGGCGCTGGGAACTGTAGTAGCACAAAATCACAGCGATGGAAACTTTAATGTACAAAACATGGCGAGAAAAAACATCTCTAGGGTTGATTACTGCGCGAGTGTTTTTTGTGTTCTTTAACACGAGCTTGCAAACACCATACGTCCATTCAAAACCCTACTGAGTCCTAAAGCGCAAATCGATTGTTTGGCGCAACACCAATGCAGTGGTCATAGCGGACCTGTCCCCGCCAGTGCTAGACCATGTCAGGCCCTGCCTCATCTTCTCCCTGGTTGGCTTCTTGCCATGAACCCAAACGACCAGCGGCGGGCTAACTGACTCGAGTCTGATCAACACTCCGCACGCTTCTTTGCCAAAGCGTCCTGTCAACTAACATGAGTCGTGGCTGCGGTGTTGTTCCCAACGCCACTGCCACGACCGCAACATCATGTTTGGCGGATATGTTGGAAGGCGTGTAGGATGTTTACGCAGGGACCAACAAGCATCTGGGGGGGTAATTACGGGCTTTTGCGCATTGCGCAATGCTGTGGGTGGGCAGGAATGTGATTGCGTGCCCACAAGCTCAGGCCGTCGCCATGGAACGCGAGGTCTTCTGCAGCTGTTCAGCGCTGACAGCGCGAGGTCTTCATTACTTGTTTGGCGCATGACGAAAGGCCCGCGCGCTCACCGTGCTGAACAGCTGCAAGCTCAGCGTAGAAGACCTCACGATCCACGGCGGCAGCCTGAGCTGGGATTCTACACTGCGTACGGGCTGCTTGGCTGGAGGTGGACAGGCCCGCCGTAACGCCAAGCAGCTGCTGCGCAAAAGCGCTTGAGCGATTCCGTAAATACCCCCCCCCCACCCCCCCGCCAAGCCTCCTCTCCAAAACACAGAAACACACGTACAGTTATGAAGCCGTTCGCAAAATAATACTTCGCAAAACACGGCGAAAAAGACTGAACCCCTCAAAAACAACTGTGAAAACTTAAACATTAGAAGAACATGGGCTATAACACCACAAACACTGGCGATGAAAACTGTAATGTCACAAAAACGTTGCGATGAACACTATAGCATCACAACAAAAGCCATGGCGATGAAAACATTAATACCACAAACACATGGTAATGAAAACTTGAATATCACAGAAACCGGGCGACGCAACCGCTAATGGCACAACACATGATGGAAACTTCAGTAGCGGAAAAGCCGCGGTGAAAACGTTAACACCATGGCGACAAGAACTTTAATAGGAGCCTCCTTCTGGCTGGAATTTCCACGACCCCCCTCCTTTCGCAAATGACCCCGTTCTTGGTTCGTCAGGGCTCCACCTCCACTGCGCCGTTGCGCTTGTTTGCAGCCGCGCCGATGCACCGGGCGAGACAAAAGCAAATCCGGGCCTGATGAAGGATGCCTACATTCGTGCTGGAGGGTGCCCGGGCCGCCCAACAGAGGTTAGCCTCCAATCCCGCAGCACTGGCGGCTTCCGAAGCTTGCACGGCGGGCGCTGCGTCGGCTGCACACTTGCGCACCTGGCTGCTTGCCGGCTCGGGAGGCGCTCCTGGCGCCACTGATTGCGATACGCCGCTTGGCCCCTCCGCGCGCAAGCCAGGCCACGCGCCGAACAAAAACAAAGGCACTCTTTGTCGGCGCAACCACGCCACTGTCGCTGGGCTTCCTTCCCCGCGCAGCGTTCCGATGCCCAAGTCCGCCACCTTAATACCACCAGAACATGATGAAGAAAACCTTGATCATCACAAAAGCATGGCTTTTAGAAATCAGAACGCCGTGACAATGAACAACTTAATCTCACCAAAGCATCACGATAAACGCTTGGTATCACAAAAACATCGCGATGAAAAGTGACAAAATCACCAGAAAAAACAGGGCGATGAAAACTTTAAAGTCGGCGAAGAAAACTCTATGACCACAACTGCTACAAAAAGCTGTATGTCACAAAAACATGGCGATCAAAAGCTTGTTATTCCAAAAACGCGACGCCAATGTAAACAAACTTGCCAATGACAAACCTAACCTAATATCGCAAAAACATGACGACGACAAAAATCGAAAACACACGGCGATGAGAACGTTAAAGTCACAAGAACAAGGCGATGAAAGCCTATACTTGTCGCAAAAACAAGGCGATGAAATGTGAATATAACAAAAACATGGCGATGAAAACTTTAATCGCACAAAAACATGCGCGACGAAAAAGTTAAAATATCAGGGGAAAAGAAGACGCAACCATGAATCACAAAAACATTGTGACTGCGCCTGTAGGAGGCCGCACGCTTTTGCCGTTTCTTGCCAAGCAACACGAAGGCGTCATGTATCAAATCACCGTGCTTTACCACAGCACAACATGAACCCTCCATTTTGACAGCCTGCAAAACCACTGCAGGGCGCGCTTTTTCGTGGGCAAAATGGCATCCACACTTGGGTTTGGAACACAACATGCACCAATGCTCAGCAGCGAAACTTTCACCGCGCGGAACGGCAAAGCCTACCCAGCTTGCTAAACAAGCTCTTTTGGCAGCATCTACGATACATGTACGCATGCAAATTCTGCCAGATCAGATCTTCTCTGACGCGGCCATTCAGGCGGGTAGTCATATGACTTGGCACTGATTTCTTCAGATGCTGCCACTAACTGCTGGATTCCACCAGAGCGCTTGCCTTTGCGTTTCAGGGCAAACTGCCCCAAGCTGTGCTCAATTGACAACGACAAACTTCAACTTCTTCTTCGAGCAGAATAACATAAGTTCAGTTTGCTAGCTGGACATGGCTGGCGCGCTACTCGGAGAGGATGACATAAGACAAAGCCAGGGCACAAGCAAAGACTTGATCCGTGTGCCAGCCACGTCAAGATTATCCCCCCACCCCCCACCCTTCCCCGCAACCCCGCTGCAAGGTGACATGCTGAAAGTGGCAACAGTTCCGGCCTCCTAGAGACGCTCAAACCAAAAACATGTCGGTGAAAACTTTAGTATCACAAGAACATATTCAGGACAACGTGAATAAATAATATTTAGGACAACGTTTAAAAAAAAAAAGGATGGACACTCTGGTATCAAAACAACGTGGCGATGAAAACATCGATATCACCAAAACATGACGATGAAAACGTTGATATCGCAAAATCCTGGCGATGAAAACTTCTATGTCACAAAAGCATGGCGATAACATGTTGAATGATTGGAATGCCCCGCCAATTGAGTGGGCAAGACTCCTCAAATGATGTCCGCCAAAGGGTCTTGA